CTTTTCAAAAATATTAATAATAAATATAGCTAAGTTTTATGGAGCACTTACATGATTTCATTTAATTCCCATAACTACTACATGGGGTAGGAATTAATAACTAAGGCTTAGTGAGGCTAAATACCTTCCCAAAGTTGCACAGCTAGAAAGTGATAAAAACTGGAATTTAGAGCTGGGCAACCTAGTTTTGGAGCACCCATCTTTCTGAGAACGAGAGAAGTAGCTGTTGCTAATGTTTGATAACAACACCAAGATAAGGCAAAACACTAAGGGAATAAAATAATTAATTATGAGGAAAGCACAGGCAAACTAGGTAGATTCTGAGCAATGAGTCATATACACATAACCCACAAAAAGGAATTACAAGCAATTTATGGGAGGATGCATTATTCAGAAGCAAATGGGAAGTTACTGGAAGAGTCATCAGCACTGACACAAGTAGAAAGCTGCTTTCCTGCGTTTAAAAGCTCTTCCACACAATGCTAGCCACTAACTATTCTAAAGAAAGGCATCAGACAGCCTTAGAGTACTCTAAGCTCTATGCCATTGGAGACATAACAAGTTCTTTCTGGGGACAGTCACAGAAGGCAGAAAAGAACACAGTCCATGCCTGATCTGTCACTGGCCAAAGAGAAAGAAAAAGAGCTCATCTCTCAGATTCATTTTGAGAGCCCAATGAGAAGGGCTCTGACTGGTGGCCTGGGGAACTATCATTGCCTCAGCCTGGGTCATGACCCATTCTGTGACCAGGAAGTTGGAGGTGTTATCGGAGAAAGGGGATATAGACGATGCTGGGCAGACCACGACTAGCCTCCAGAGGTATCAAAGTCACTGATTCACTCAACAAATAAGTGCTGATAATGTAGGATATACACCAAGACACAGAAATGAGTAAGACAAGTTTCTAATCCCAAGGTGCTTACAGTTTAATGAATAGGGAAAAGATATCAAGTAGTTTACAGTTTAGGCAAGAAGACACAATTATTGCATACTAAAGCAATGCTGAACAATTCTGCATGCTATTTAATTAAGTGCTGAATTGTTTAGTAGAGACCACCAGTGATGTGGTTGTTCTAAGAAAAAGAAAATCAGTACATAGTACTGAACCTGAATTAGGATTTAAGGAATGAATAGGATTTGGCTGGAAGAGAATAGAGGAAGAAATTCAGAGGGAAGAAGAGGGAATTCAGAGGAAAAGACTGCTATCAGCACAGGGATGGAGGTAGAAAGGACAGTCAGTGAAGAGACAGGAGGGCACACAGTAAGTAAATGAGAGCTCATGAATCACCCAGCTACGGCTGGTTGCCTTCCCTCCCCTGCCAGAACAGTATCAGTGGCTGCATGATGGTGGAAGCATCTATATGTGTCAGAATCTGACAGGAACCACACCCTTAGTTACCAACCCTCTCTCCTACCTAATTAGAGGGAGACAAGATGGGAAGGGGAGGAAGAGTGAAGTCATCTGCACAGGACCAGAAAGAGATCAGTGGTATCAGAACAGCGTGTACTTCCATGTGTGCACGACTGTGGAAAAGGCCAATACAGCTCGAAAGGACTGCAGTGGGGTGAACTGTAACTTGAGTGTTAGATGAATTAAAACTGGTCCAAAAACCCTTCAACTCCGTAATTTGGAGATCTCCACTTGACTTCCTGATCAAAATATTTTCACTACCTTAAATTGAAATGCACATGTTTTAGCATGGCATAGATTGCTGTTTTCATCTAACCCTTGCCTACCTTTACGCCTCACTCACACCTCTGCCTGACAGGCTCTGGTGTAGGGAACCATAGGCACTTCTCAAAAGTTGGGCATATCTTGCTTCTCATGTCTCTGGGTCTCCTTTTTGAGTGGCCCTTTTCCTCTTCCTCTGCTTAGCTACTTCCTACCTATCCTCCAAGATAGTGATCCCCAACCTTTTTGGCATCTCGGGCTGGTGTCATGGAAAACAATTTTCCCACAGATGGGTGGGTGGAAAGGTTTCCGGATGAAACTGTTCCACCTCTGATCATCAGGGATTAATTAGAGTCTCATATAAGGAGTGCACAATCTAGATCCCTCATATGCACAGTTCATAATAGGGTTTGCTCTCCTATGAAAATCTAATGCCATAGCTGATCTGACAGGAGGCGGAGCTCAGGCAGTAATGCTCACTCACCACCACCCTTCCCTCCCCTCCTGCTGTGCGACCCAGTTCCTAATGGGCCACAGATGGTAGTAGTTCATGGCCCAGGGGTTGGGGACCCCTGCTCTAAGACACAGTTTGAATACTTCTTCTTGGAAGTGTAGGACTGTGGGTAACTTAGATTTACTTATTTCTGCTTATTTGCTTTTTTAATTTGTTTATAATAAACATGAATATTTTTCAGTATGTAAATATCAAGGAAACTGTCATTAAGGTAAACCTAGTGACTGGAACAAGGGGAAAAACCATGATGTAGGATTGCTCCACACTTTGTCTCCAAAGAAATCCTAGGAGGTAATTCAAGAATAAAAGTCTGGGCTGGGTGTAGTGGCTCACACCTGTAATCCCAGCATTTTGGGAGGCCGAGGCAGGTGGATCACCTGAGGTCAGGAGTTCCAGACTAGCCTGGCCAACATGCTGAAACCCTATCTCTACTAAAAAATACAAAAATTAGCTGGGCACAGTGGCAGGCACCTGTAATCTCAGCTACTCAGGAGGCTGATGCAGGAGAATTGCTTGAACCTCGGGGGCAGAACAAAAAAAATGGTCTGGCCGTGCATGGTGGCTCATGCCTGTAATCCCAGCACTCTGGGAGGATGAGGCAGGTAGATCACCTCAGGTCAGTTCAAGACCAGCCTGGCCAACATGGTGAAACCCTGTCTCTACCAAAAATACAAAAGGTAGCTGGGCGCAGAGATGCTAGCCTGTAATCCCAGCTACTCAAGAGGCAGAGGCAGAAGAATCACTTGAACCCGGGAGGCGGAGGTTGCAGTGAGCCAGGATCATGCCATTGCACCACTCCAACCTGGGTGACAGGAGTGAGACTCTGTCTCAAAAAAAAAAAACCAAAAAAACAAAAAAACAGAATAAAAGTCTAACTTTCCTTCCTTCCTTCCTTCTTTCCTTCCTTCCTTCCTTCCTTCTTTCCTTCCTTCCTTCTTTCCTTCCTTCCTTCCTTTCTTCCTTCCTTCCTCTTTCTTCCTCCCTCCCTCCCCCTTTCTCTCTCTTACTCTCTCTTTCCTTCCTTCTTTCTCTCTCTCTTTCTCTCTTTCTTTTTTTCTTTTCTTTTCTTTCAGACAGGGTCTTGATCTGTATGGGCTCACGCAATCCTCCCAACTCAGCCTCACAAGTAGCTTAAACTATAGGTATGCACAACCACACCCAGCTAATTAAAAATTTTTTTTTTATAGAGATGAGATCTCACTATGTTGCCCAAGCTAGTCTAGAACTCTTGGGCTCAAGTGATCCTCCTGCTTGGGCCTCCCAAAATGTTGGGATTACAGGTGTGAGCCACTGTGTCCAGTCAAAGTTCTAATTTCAAAACTAGGCATTTTTTCCCCCATTGGATTAGCAAAGATAAAGAACAAACAAGGATAATTCCTAGCAGGAAATTATTATTTACTATTGGTGAAAGTCTTATTTATTATTGGTGAAATTATGAATTGGTATGATCTTTTTGGAGAGTTTTTTGACAATAACTGTCAAAAATGCATATATTGTTTTACCTCCTAGTAACTTTACTTCTAGAAATTTATTCCACAGAAAATGTCTGCACAAATGCACAGTTATACACATAAGCAGAGAAGGCTATATAATTTATGGGCTCAGAGCAAAATGAAAATGCAGAGCTCTCTGTTCAAAAAGCAGGAAAAAAGTGCCATGAAAGTACGAAAATTTAAAACTTTTTCCTTTTCTTTTTTTCTATGATCTCTTTCTTAAGATATCATGGTGTGTATGTGTGTGTGTTTATGTGTGTGCACGTGTGCATGTGTGCACGTTTTTTATTGGTGGCAACAACACTTAACATGAGATCTACCCTTTTAACAAATTTTTACATGTATAGTAGTACAGTATTGTTAACTCTAGGCGTAATGTTGTATAGCAGATATCTAGAACTTATTCATCTTTTTTGTCAAGACATGGTTTAAAAAAGTTTGCTATTAATGTCACACTTCCTCAGGCACCAGATACTCACCAAGAAAGTGCAGACCCTCACAGGTGCCTAGGCAACTCAGCACAAAAGGATTGTGTACTGGACCTTGACCCAGGTGTCCAGGCCTCTGCCCAGCAGGGGGAACAGAGGCCAGCAGTGGTCACTGGATGGCTGATGAGCTGGCACATGAGTGAGGTCTCCACTATGGAGTGGTGGGAAGGAAGCAGGAGGCAAGGCATGTGTGAGCCAAAGGTCAAAGCTCCTGGTGTATGCTCCACTATTCCATCAAACCGCACAAAGTCAAAGATAAAATTATTAAGACTTTTAAGACAGAAACCACAGGGCATTTAATCTCAAGCATGAGGGCCTTTCTGTACTTAGGACCCTATGTGACTCCCCTGGTCATTAGCCCATGAAGCCAGCCCTACATATGAGTCTGTTCATATAGCACTGGCTATAAATAGCAAAATATAATAAACCAAATTGTTCATTAGTGACTAAACAAATAAATTATGGTAAAACCACACAATAAAAAACCAGGTAGCCATTAAAAAACAAGTCTGATATATAAACACTGACACAGCTGTCCAACACACATAAACAAAGGTTTCAGAAAATTAGATGTATATGTATGTATCTATAAAAGTGTTAAAATATTAAGAGTATTATTAAAGAGTATTATTAAGATTATTATTAATATATTAAAATAAAAAATATATAATATATATATTATATATATATATATATACATATACACACACACACACACGCACGCACAGACATGCATACACATACACATAAAAAGACCGTGACTTCTTTAAACACAAAAAGACCATGGAAAATGTCTTTCTGACTTGTAAAAGACTACTCATTAAAATTCTTACCATCATTGCTGAGATCCTCAGCAGGAGACACTGAGTCCATGTGTTCTAGGATTCCCTTTGCGATCTCAACGACCTGAAGCCTCCTGACACTGACTAAGTCTGTATCTTTCAACCCTTCCTCCAATTGTCTGACCACCTCTTTTCCAGGCTGAGAAGTCAGAATAGTAATCTGAAAATAAATTCAAGAATCAATGTGTCTATTCTCTCTGATGTACAGAGTGAGGAACACAACAGTTCCTACCTGGAGGATAAATACAGCATAGGTCTGTGGTGGTGGCTACTGTGGCTAGTACAAAGAGGATTTGGCTGTAGCTTAAAATTAAATTTTATTTGACAGATTCTGGAAGGCCAGGTTATCACAGGACCTCTCCAATCTGGCTGAGCTGACCCCAGAAAGTGACTGGTAAAGCCATACATGTGTTTTAGTCTTTTAAGACTGCTTGAGCCACTGGCAGCATCTCATTGCTCAAAATACTTAGATTTTACAAGGTAACAAAGGAAACAAAATTCTTGAATTTTACACACTAAATTTATACCAAATATTAAAGAGCCTATATGCTCTTTTCTCTCAGTGATGCTTCCATATCACATTTTCAGACTGATTTATCTCCTTGCTGGATCCACTAGAGCTATTTCTTTTGTTCCTTTGACTCTAAAATGTACTTACTTTGACCAATGTATCTCACCTGAAGGGATATTCAGGAGTCTGTATATAATTTGCATGTTTTATTTTACCTGAATAAACATGCTATATATGTGTATATATATAACACTGTGTGTGTGTGTGTGTGTGTGTGTGTGTGTGTGTGTGTGTGTGTGTGTTTATTTATTTATTTTAGATGGATTCTTGCTCTGTCACCCAGGCTGGAGTACAGTGGCATGATCTCGGCTCACTGCAACCTCTCCCTCCTGGGTTCAAGTGATTTTCCTGCCTCAGCATCCTGAACAGCTGGGATTACAGGTGTGCGCCATCATGGCTGGCTAATTTTTTTTTTTGCATTTTTAGTAGGGACGGGGTTTCACCATGTTGATCAGGCTGGTCTTGAACTCCTGACCTCATGATCTGCACGCCTCAGCTTCCCGAAGTGCTGGAATTACAGGTGTGAGCCACTGCACCTGGCCACTATATGTTTTTATTAGCAGTTTTTTCTTGAACTTTTCAACTCTGGAAGGAAATCATTACATATATATAATTCTCATTTGTACTTAGACATGTTTGATCCATGAAGAGGGATGTAGATTAAAGCACTATTATACACTATTATTATTATTATTTTAAAAGACTTTTTTGTTTAGAGCAGTTTTATGTTCACAGCAAAACTGAAAGGAACGTGCAGACATAGCCCATATTTGCTCCCACATATACATGGCCTCTCTCATTAACAGTATCTTCCACCAAAATCAATGCAATTGAGGAACCTATATTGACACATCATAATCATCCAAAGTCCACAGATTACATTAGGGTTGACTCTTGGTGTAGTACATTCTATAAGTCTAGACAAATGCATAATGACATGCACCCATCAGTATAATAAATATTATATTGAGCCTTTTCACCACCCTAAGAATCCTCTCTGCTCTGTCTATTCATTCCTCTTTCTCCTCAATCCCTGCAACCATTAATCTTTTTAAGTTTCCATAGTTTTACCTTTTCCAGAATGTCATATAGTTTGGGATATATGTAGCCTCTTCAGACGGGCTTCTTTAACTTAGTAATGTGCATTTAAGGTCCCTCTATATCTTTTTGTGGCTTGATAGCTCATTTCTTTTTAGTGCTGAATAATATTCCATTGTCTGGATGAATCATAGTTTATCTGTCCATTCATCTACTGAAGAATAGCTTGGTTGCTTCCAAGTTTTGGCAATTATGAATAAAGCTGCCATAAATACCCATGTGTGGGTTTTCGTGTGAATGGGTTTTTAACTCCTTTGGGTAAATACAAAGAAGCTTGATTTCTGGATTATATGGTAAATATATGTTTAGTTTTATAAGAAATCATCAAACTGTCTTTCAAAGTGGCTGTGCCATTCTACATTCCCATCAGCAATGAATGAAAGTTCCTGTTGCTCCACATCCTCACCAGCATTTGGTGTTGTCAGTGTTCTGGAATTTAGCCATTTTAATAGATCTGTGATGGTGCTTCATTGTTTTAATTTGCATTTCCCTGATATCATATGATGTGGAGTATCTTTTCGTGTTTGTTTACCATTTGTATTTGTTCTTTGGTGAGGCATCTGAAAAGGTCTTTGGCCCATTTTTTAAAGTTTTATTTTGTTTTTAATTGACACATAATAATTGTACACATTTCTGGGTATGGTGTGATGTTTTGATACATGTATACATTGTATAATGATCAAATCAGGGTAATTCACATATCTATCATCTCAAACGCTTCTCATTTCTTTGTGATGAGAACATTCAAAATCCTCTCTTCTAACTATTTTGAAATATACATTATTGTTAACTATAGTCATGTTATTGTGCAATAGAAAACCAGAACTTATTCCTCCTATCTAAGTGTAACTTTGCACCATTGGCCAACCTGTCCTCATCCACCCTTCCCCTCTACTCTCCTCAGCCTCTGATAACCACTATTCAACCCTCTACTTCTATGAGATCAACGTTTTTGGATTCCACAAATGAGTGAGATCATGCAGTACCTGTCATTCTATGCCTGGCTTATTTTACTTAATATAGTGTTCTCTAGAACAAACAACAGGATTTTATTCCTTTTTATAAAAGAATGGTATTACATTGTGTATAAATACCACATTTCAAAAATCCATTTATCCATTGACAGACAGTCAGGTTGATTTCATGTCTTGGCTGTTGTACGCAGTGCTGTAATAAACCTGGGAGTGCAGATATCTCTGCAACACACTGATTTCCTTTCCTTTGGATATATACCCAGTAGTGGGATTGTTGGATTATATGGTAGTTCTGTTTTTAATTTTTTGAGAAACCTTCATATTGTTCTCCATAGTGGCTGTACTAATTTGCATTCTTACCAACAATGTAAGGAGGATCCCCCTTCTCCACCTCCTCACCAATATTATTTATTTTTTATCTTTTTCATAGTAGCCATTCTAATGAGGGTGAGGTTATATTTTATTGTGGGTTTGATTTGTATTGCTCTGATTACTGATGTTGAGCATTTTTTCACCTACCTGTGGCCATTTGTCTTCTTTTGAGAAATGTTTATTCAGCTCTTTCAGATTATTCATTTTTTCCCTACTGAGTTGTTTGAGTTCCTTATATATTCTGAATATTAATCACTTGTCAGTTGCATAGTTTACAAATATTTCCTTTTATTCTGTAGGTTGTTAACAATCCTTCTTGATTATGGTAAATGATCTTTTTGATGTGTTGTTGGATTTGGTTTGCGACTATTTTGTTAAGGGTTTTTGCATCTATGTTCATCAGAGATATTGGCCTATAGTTTTCTTTTCTGTTGTTGTGCCCTTGTCTGGTTTTGGTATCAAGGTAATGCTGGCCTTGTAGAATGAGTCTGGAAGAATTCTCTCCATTTCAATTTTTTAGAGTAGTTGAGAAGAATTGGTATGCTTGGTAGAATTCAGCAGTTACTTCACCTATTTTTTTTTTTTTTTTTGAGACAGGGTCTCACTTTGTTGTCCAGGTTGGAGTACAGTGGTGCAACCATGGCTCACTGAAGCCTTGACCTCCCAGGCTCAAATGAGCCTCCTGCCTCAGCCTCTCAAGTAGCTGAGACCACAGATGCATGCTACCATGCCTGGCTCATTTGTGTGTGTGTGTGTATGTGTGTGTGTGTGTTTATTTTTGGAGAGATGGGGGTCTCAACATGTTGACCGGGCTGTTCTGGAACTCTTAGACTCAAGTGATCCTGCTGCTGTAGCCTTCCAAAATGCTGGAATTACAGGCATAAGCCACTGCACCTGGTCCACTTCATTCTTTGATTGTTTCCTTTGGTGTGCAAAAGCTTTTTGGTTTGATGAAATTCCATTTGTCTAGTTTTGCTGTTGTTGCCTGTGCTTTTGAGATCTTATAAAAAAAAATTCTTGCCCAGACCAACTCATGAATTGTTTCCCTTATTTTATTTATTTATTTTTATTGTACTTTAGGTTCTGGGGTACATGTGCAGACCATGCAGGATTGTTGCATAGGTACATACATGGCAAGGTGGTTTCCTGCCTCCATCCCCCCGTCACCTGTATCTGCCATTTCTCCCCATGTTATCTCTCCCCAACCTCCCTACCCCGTGCTGTCCCTCCCCTAATACCCCAATGTGTGATGCTCCCTTCCCTGTGTCCATGTGTTCTCATTGTTCAATACCCACCTATGAGTTAGAACATGCGGTGTTTGATTTTCTGTTCTTGTGTCAGTTTGCTGAGAATGATGGTTTCCAGACTCATCCATGTCCCTACAAAGGACATGAACTCATCTTTTATATGGCTGCATAGTACTCCATAGTGTATATGTGCCACATTTTCCTTGTCCAGTCTATCACTGATGGGCATTTGGGTTGGTTCCAGGTCTTTGCTATTGTAAACAGTGCTGCAATGAACATACATGTACATGTGTTTTTATAATAGAACAATTTATAATCCTTTGGGTATATACCCAGCAATGGGATTGCTGGGCCAAATGGAATTTCTATTTCTATATCCTTGAGGAATAACCACACTGTCTTCCACAATGGCTGAACTAATTTACACTCCCACCAGCAGTGTAAAAGTGTTCCTATTTCTCCACATCCTCTCCAGCATCTGTTGTCTCCAGATTTTTTAATGATCACCATTCTAACTGGTGTGAGATTGTAGCTCTAATTTTAAGAGTCAGGGTCTCATTCTGTTGCTCAGGCTGGAATACAGTGGTATGACCATAGCTCACTGCAATCTCGAACTCCTGGGCTCAGGGCTCAAGGGATCCTTGCCTTAGCCTTCCAGGTAGTTGGAACTACAGGCATACACCACCACTAACAGCTAGTTTTTCTAAAAAGTATTTTTTTTTTGTAGTGGCAGGGTCTCACTATGTTGTCCAGGCTAGTCTTGAACTCCTGACCTCAAGTGATTCTCTTGCCTCAGCCTCCCAAAGTGCTGGGATTACAGGCATGAGCTACTGCACCTGGACTTGTTCCAGATTTTAGAGGAAAAGCTTTCAACTTTTCCTTATTCAATATGAGTTAGCTGTGGGTTTGTCATATATGGTCTTCATTGTGTTGGAGTACACTATTTCTGTCTCTATTTTGTTGACATTATATTAAGAGTTTAAACTCTCAACAAAATAGGGACAGAAAGAGTGTACCTCAACAAAATGATATTGAATTTTATTGAATGCTTTTTCTGCATCCATGGAGATGATCATATGGTTTACGTCCTTCATTCTGTTAATGTGATGTGTCATGTTTATCAGTTTGCATATGTTGAGCCATCCTGCATCCCTGGGACAAATCCTTCTTGATTATGGTAAATGATCTTTTTGATGTGTTGTTGGATTTGGTTTGCAAATATTTTGTTAAGGGTTTTTGCATCTATATTCATCAGAGATATTGGCCTATAGTTTTCTTTTTTGTTGTTGTGCCCTTGTCTGGTTTTGGTATAAAGGTAACGCTGGCCTTGTAGAATGAGTCTGGAAGAATTCTCTCCACTTCAATTTTTTAGAGTAGTTGAGAAGAATTGGTATTAGTTCTTCTTTAAATGCTTGGTAGAATTCAGCAGTGAATCTATCAGGTCTGGAGATTTTCTTCAATGGAAGACTTTTTATTGCTGATTCAATCTCATTATTTGCTGTCATTACTTACTGTTGGTTGGTTTAGGCTTTCTATTTTTTCATGATCCAATTTTAGCAGATTGTATACGTACAGAAATTTATCCATTTCTTTTATGTTTTCTAATTTGTTGGTATATAGTTCTTCATAATAGTCTATAATAATCCTTTGTATTTTTGTGGTATCAGTTGTAATGTCTCCTTTTTAATCTCTGATTTATTTGAGTTGTCACTCTTTTTTTCTTAGTCTAGCTAAAAGTTTGTGATTTTGTTTATCCTTTCAAAAAAACAGTTCTTTTTAGTTTGAGACCAGCCTGACTAACATGGAGAAACTCCGTCTCAACTAATAATACAAAATTAGCTGAGTGTGGTGGTGCCTGCCCGTAATCCCAGCTATTCAGGAAGCTGAGGCAGAAGAACTGTTTGAACCTGGGAGGAAGAGGTTGTGGTGAGCCAAGATCATGCCATTATACTCCAGCCTGGGCAACAAGAGTGAAACGGTGTCTCAAAAAACAAAACAAAACAAAACAAAACAAAACAAAACGACAACAACAATAAAAAACAGTTCTTTTGAAATTAAACTTTTATGTTTTTGTTTGTTTGTTTAAGAGACAAGGTCTTGCTCTGTCATACAGGCTGGAATGCAGTGGTGTGATCATAGCTCACTGCAGCCTCAAAATTCTGGGCTCAGGCAATCTTCCCATCTTGGCCTCTCAAGTAGCTAGGACTACAGGTGTGTACACCACACCTGGGTAATTAAAAATTTTTTTTTGTAGAGATGGGGGTTTCACTATGTTGCCCAGGCTAGTTTTAAACTCCTGGCCTCAAGCGATCCTCCTGCCTTAGCCTCCCAAAGTGTTGTACTATTTTTTTTAAGTCTTTATTTCTTTTATTTTTATTCTGATCATTACTATTTTTTTCCATCTACTAATTTTGGGTTTAGTATATTCTTGTTCTTCTAGTTCCTTGAGGTGCAATGTTAGGTTGTTTATTTGAGAGCTTTCTTCTTTTTTGATGTAGGCATTTATTGCTATAAACTTCTCTTTTGCTGTATCTCATAGGTTTTGGTATATTGTGAACCCATTTTCATTTGACTCAAGAAGATTTTACACTTCATTTTTAATTTCTCCATTGACCCATTGGTTGTTCAGGAGCATGTGGTTTAATAATGTTCTCTGAGCTTCCTGGATCTGTGGTTTGCCGTCTGACTTGAATTTAAGAAATTCTCAGTCGTTATTGTTCAAGGGTTTCTTCTGTTTCTTTTTTCTTTTCCTTCTGGTATCCCCATTACATGTAAGTCATACCTTTTGTAGTTGTCCCACAGTTCTTGAATATTCTGTTCTGTTTTTTTTCCAGTTTTTTTAATCTTTGGTTTTACAGATTTGAAAGTTTCTATTGATACATCCTCAAGCTCGAAGATTCTTTCTTTACCCATGACAAGTTTACCAATAGGCCCATCAAAGACATTCTTCATATCTATTACAATGTTTTTGATCTCTGGCACCTATTTTTGATTCTTTCTTAGGATTTCCATCTCTCCGCTTACATTGCCTATATGTTCTTTCATTCTGGCTACTTTCTTCATTAGAGCCCTTAGCATATTAATCATAGCTGCTTTAAATTCTGCAGTCTGAGAATTCCAATGTCTCTGCCATGTCTAGTTCTGGTGCTTGCTCTGTCTCTTCAAACTGTGTTTTTTCTCTTTTAGTATGCTTTTTATAGTTGTACATGATGTTCCAGATAAAAGGGAACTGCTATAAGCAGGCCTTTAGTAATGTGTGGTAAGGGATAGAGGGAGGGGGAGTAGGATTAGGTCTCAGTCTTTTAGTGAATCTATGCCTCTGGACTGTAAACTTTACAAGTGTTCCTCAGTTTTTTTCTCTCCCCACTTAGGTAGGACAGGTTGGCTAGACTGGGCTGAAGTTGAGTATTTCCTTTCAGCTACATTGAAGGATACAGCTGGCTGGAGTTTGGTACTTTCCTTCTCCCAGTTCATTTAGACTCTGATAAAATCCCAGCAGGTTAGGGATTAGGTTCTGTTTAACTAGTTTCTCCTGAGTAACTACCTGTTAAAGTAGTTTCATTATACCCGTTAAGAACAGAGTGCTCTGGTGTATTTCAAAATGGTTCATTTTTCCCTCTCTCTATCAGAGGCATGAGGGAATTTTCCCCTGATATTTACTATGAGGACCTGGTTGAACTCCTGGAGGTAAAACTCACCAAAGTGTGGAGTGGCAGGATCATAGCTCACTGCAACTTTGAATTCCTGGGCTCAAGCCATCTTCCTGCCCCAACCTCTCAAGTAGCTAGGACTATGGGTACATACCACCAAGCCTGGCTAATCTTTATTTTTTGTGGAGATGGAGTCTTGCTATGTTGCCCAAGCTGCTCTTAAACTCCTGGCCTCAAGATGATTTTCCTGCCTTGACCTCTCAAGGTGCTGAGATTACAGGCGTGAGTCACAATGCTCATCCTCTCCTAGAATTTCAGACTTGTCCACACCTAGCCTGCAGCAATGTCAATGACAATTTCCTACTCTAGCACTGGCTCCTGTGGAGGTTTCTGTTCCAGTATGTTGTGGTTCTCTGTATCTGCCTGGTCGTCTCTCCCATTTTGAAGGCAACAGTTTTGCCCTGTGACCTTACTTCTCAGGGATCTAAAAAATATTGTTGATATTTTAGTTTGTTAAGCTTTTTACTAGTTGTTAGGATGGAGTAGCAACTTCCAAGCTTTGTACATGAAGAATTGGAAACCATAAATCTCACACAATAATTTTTTGACCTGTTTGATCCCTGAGGTTACAAGAGATCAAAACTATCTTAACTCACACTCACCCATGTACCCAATGAAGTATCCAGCCATGCCTTATTTCTATTTTTAAGACTGGCTCAGTCTGGCACTCTCACATTTGCATGCTTGCCAATCTCAAGAAAATATACTCAATTTGATGCTAAGATTTGGTTAAGAAGAATTGTAAATTCCTAAGAGTACCATGGTAAATAGAAATACAGCTACCAATGTAGGCAGTTTAACACTGGTGTTACAAGTTCCAAAAATCCAGAGGCAGGTGGCATATTCAGATTTTATTTTGATTTCAGTTTTTCCTTATAATTCACTTCAGTCTATAATTTTAGAGCTCTTCTCTATATCTATCTCTACATTAAGAACTGTGCAGGTTATAGGAAGAAGAGAAATATGTCCTTTGCCTGCAGGGGGCTGAAAATCTAGCCTTGAATATTACATCCAGTGTGAATGAAAGATAGAACAATGTAAGGATGGAGTCCTAAAGGCCAGCATCACTTACCTCCAGGGAAGTATAAGCGAGGGCTGCACTTGTGGTCACATGTCTGCTGTATTGTTTAAATTGCTGGAGTCCATCTTCTACTGCCAGTCGCAGAGAAGTGCCTTGTGATCTGAAACAACCTTCTCTCTGTAACATGCGGAGCTCTGAGATGCAGGCCTGCAACCTAGCAAAGTTCCCTTTCACTTGCTGCAGAGAAAAATGAACCAAAGACACAAGTCTTTAGGGACCAGGTTTCAGATTAATTGGCAGTCTAAATTCATTATAAATAATTCCTCAGAAGTTTCTTCCCTTCCTGAAAATTTGCTTATTTGACCAACATCTACTGAATGCCTATTGTGTTCTAGGCACTACGCCAAAGTCTTCCCTACACCAGTGGAAGGAAAATTTGCAGGCATAAAGGTTTTGATTTTGTAGAGTTACCAGAAACATGAAAGGAAGTTTTAATTCATTCACTCACATAAAGGGAAGTCTAGTGTTTGACTGCTTTGTTTTACTTTGGGGTGACCTGCAAACTGGAGGCCAGACAGGGTTCACCTTAGACATTATCTTCATTTATTAGTCAGTCTAGGCATCAAAAGGTTCTCTATTTAAAAATGATGTTTTCCCAGAAATAAGAATTTTGATGTGGTTGATCACTTCAGAATTCATACAGTCCTAATACACTCTTCAGGATAACTTCAGTAAAGAAGAGATACTTGGCTTAGTCTGCAGTCAGCTTAAGGAGCCAACATGCTAACCCCAGGCAAGCCACCTTTTGGTTCTTCTCATCTTTCTTTATAAAAACTTGCTCTTAGGAGTCAACTAATTTAATCTGATACTAGGCCTATGTTACTTGTCCTAAGGCTATATGCATTTTGATAAACGTGGACTGAAGATTTGTGACACCATTTGAAGGGATTCCATGCATCAATAGCAGATGGAGGGTAGGGAAGAATTATATTTGGGATAGGGACACCTTCCTGACCTAAGAGCAGAACTAAGTGATATTTGCAATGCATATAAAATCCATGAGCATGAGCTGTAATCCTGCCAAAATAGAAAGACTGCTTAAGTTCCTTAGGAAGGAATTTAAGTTCCTTACCTTCCTGGCTTAGCTCCACAGTTGCTTACATTCTTCTCTCCCCAAGTCTTTGGGGGAAAACACAATAAACTGGATATAATTCTTATATAAAGAAAACTTGTAATCTAGATAGGAAAATAAAAAAACTGTCCAAGGAAGAAATGAGAAGAAATCATACCACAGGTGTAGTCTAGTAGGCTTTAAGCATTTCTTCTCATGTATCCTCTGAAAGAATCTAAGAAACTGTGCATTTTTAAGTGAACATCTAGATTTTAAAATTCCAGCTTTATAAGTGGTTGCTAAGGATGTAACTTCCAGCATATTTTAAATATCAACATTTAAAAATAAAACTATATCACTCTTCAAACATAGTCTGATTGAATCTAAACGCCATGGTGATTTGATACTCACCATTACCAATGTTAAAAGTACATGAACAAGCTCTTTTTTTCCCAACAGATAGAAAAATTTAGATTGTTCCTTTTTCTCCTTAAATTCATATTTCCATTTCACTTTCCCTGAGAGTTTTATCATAATGTAAAAGAATTTTTTATGCCTGGCAATCTTTTATTGATCATCCTATCATACTTCTCTGCATCAGAAATAGCTATATTTTGCAAGAGTTCTAAATTTCCTATGACCATAGGCTTTAAGGGACACTCTAGATTGAGTTATTATTAGAATTATCATTCATATACAATTTATCAAAACAACATGTATATACCAATTTTGAGAAATAATTATTGGCATTAAGCATAGCTTTAATTGGAAATGTTCCTCTTAATAATTGGAAATGTTCCTCTTAATGGCATGGACAGGCTGGGCTCTTCTTCCAATTAGCTTGGGTTTGTATGAATAAATAAAATAATTATGGCTCAAATGATACAACATTCAGTATCAATTTTTATTCCTATTTAATTAATTATTTGGTGGCCAACATGTATTGAATTTATTGCATCAGTATAAACAGAGAAAAACATTGTTTTCTCTTGACCAGATACTCAAAAGGCTTTAAAAGAAATGTAACTTAACTCCAATTCGAGAATATGTACTAAAATATTTTTTTTTTTTTTTTTGAGACGGAGTTTCGCTCTTGTTACCCAGGCTGGAGTGCAATGGCGCGATCTCGGCTCACCGCAACCTCCGCCTCCTGGGTTCAGGCAATTCTCCTGCCTCAGCCTCCTGAGTAGCTGGGATTACAGGCACGCGCCACCATGCCCAGCTAATTTTTTGTAGTTTTTAGTAGAGACGGGGTTTCACCATGTTGACCAGGATGGTCTCGATTTCTTGACCTCGTGATCCACCGCACCCGGCTGTACTAAAATTTTTAAGCCTCACCTTGGTATTTTTAAAAGACTAAATGTGATACCTTACAAGGCATTTCCATGTCATAAATTCATTCTATTACATTTTACATATAAAAATGCTGCACATTGTTCTAATTATGTGTCTGTAACTATAGGACAGACACAGAATGATTCAGTCTCCCAAGTAGCTGGGATTACAGGTACACACCACCACACCCAGCCAATTTTTGTATTTTTTTTTTTTTTTAAGAGAGATGGGGTTTCAACATGTTAGCCAGGCTGGTCTCAAACTCCTGACCTCAAGTGATCCACCCACCTCAGCCTCCCAAAGTGCTGGGATTACAGGCTTGAGCCACCATACCTGGCCAATATTACCTTTTTTACTGGTCTTCAAAGTTTTGTGTGTATTTTACATGTACAACACACCTTCAACTGGAGTAGCCATGTCTCAGATATTCAATGCCCACATGCGGCTAGTGACTGCCATATTGGACAGAGACCCTGCTGGATCACTTGTTAATATGTGCCTTTCAGTTTGCCAGCTGGGAAAGTGCTGCTTTTCTGGTGTGTTTTTAAGGTGTGTTTCTCAACTCTGGAGCTGACTCCTGGAGCCCTCGAGCTGGATTTGAAGAAGCTGTTTGGACAGCATGTTGCCATGGAAGTGATTCTCAAGGCACTGACTGGCTTTAGAAGCAACAAAAAATCCCTAGAAACCACTAATTCTTTCCTTACATGGCTGAGCTGGCATAGGCAATAATTTTGTCAGCCAAATTGTGGCTGAACATCTTCACTCGAAAGGCCTGAACAGTAACTATCCACCTATTTGTACCAACTCTGTACTTCCCTCATAAGCAAAAGATAAAACTGTACCAGGCAGGAGAACCCAGTAATATTATCTTGCTCACAGGCCACTTGGACTGTTCTGGGAAAACTGCACTAACTCTGGTCTCTGCTTCTCTTTTCTTTGCATTGCAACAGCCCCAGGCTCCACTGAGTTAAGGCACACTTGAACCCCGATTTCTCAACTCCCAGTTTACATGGTAGTCACATTCTCCAATGAATGAATGCACTCAGCATTCCCAGCAGAGCACATGGTGTTAGGTGGAGCACTCTTAAGCAGGTTGCTTGGGCATGGCTTCATTTAATGCTCTCTACCTATGATGCAGCCTCAACCTTGCCTCTGCATGTTGCAATGTAGATTAGAGAATTTTTTTTCCTAAACACCTTTTATTCCCTTTGTTCCTCTCATCTTTCAAGTCCTTGGCATTGCTTTCTTCAAAGAAAGCCTTAAAGAACTGAACATTGACACTGTTTCTCCTTTTGAGATATTTTTCCATATTTAATTTATATTACATTATCTAGGAGGGTTCATTCTCATTTAAATGAATGTCGTCCTTGTCAAGGTTAATATTCCCACTATTAGAACAAGAAACAGAAACTTAACTGAACAAGGAAGTGAAAGTGAGTGTTTGCCACACAAACTGCAAGACAGAGAAGATTGCCAAACTCAGGAATAATTTTCTTATTTTTCACATGTTTTTCATAAATCTCTAGAAATGTAGTAAAATAAATACGGACGTATCTGGGGGAGTTTCCTGGTCACAACCTTTTTACATTATGAGGTTGAGAGCTTGTTGCTTGGGGGTGTCTTTTTTGTTTGTTCCAAGAATGTATCAGAACAAATGCTTTTCATAAAATGTCATCTAGATCAGCTCCTTTGTTCATTGAGTCAGTACAAGGCATTGGTCTTGGGCACTGTGCAAGTCTTAGTCTAGTTCCTTATTCCTCAGTATGTCTGGTAATATTGAGATTTCGGTTCACAGTGAGATGAACACTATGGATTAGTTACCAGTGAATGATAAATATTCATGTAACTTGTGTCTCTTATACCTTTAAAAAGTCACATTTAGCATGTCATTGGAGTTAGGAAAAAACTTCTCTGCATTTTAGCACCTATCTCTCTGCCAATTTCAACTTTTTATAGATAAAGTTTTGGAAAAAACTGTTACCCAATGAGTGGAGGTGAGAGTGTACTAATGCCTAATTCCTTTTGCTCACTTGTCCTTCCCAGTAAGAAGTTTGTCTCCTGTGGCCATCTCAATGGCACTGCCCTTCCAACATGGAGAATACACATTCCAGGCATCCTGCCTGCATGCCTGTACACCCAGCCACCACTGTAGCTCATCTATCACTGGAGAGTAACTTCCTGCTTTCCCAGTAACTGTAGACCAACTTCAGCCTTGACAAACCAGCGAACTTCTCTGTCATCCAGTAGGTTACAAATACAGTACACATTCTGCAATTAGGTGTGAACCCCAGCCTCAGTAAGGGAGTCCCTTTTGCAAGTTTGACCTTCCTTAGGATTTCTTCCTCATCCCTAAGGTACCATATAAATTCCCTTATATCTTATAGGTAATTTATTATCACACTTTAATATGTTAAGCTATATTTCAGTTTTGTTTTGTTTTGTTTTTGAGACAGGGTGTTGCTCTGCCACCCAGGCTAGACTGCAGTAGTGGTGCAATCCTAGCTCATGGCACTGGACTTAAGGGATCCTCTCTTCTCAGCCACCTGAGTAGTCAGGATTACAGGTGCAGGCCACCATGTCTGGCTAATTTTTTATTTTTAAATTTTTTGTGGAGATGAGGTCTCACTATGTTGCTCAGGCTGGTCATGAACACCTGGCCTCAAGCAATCCTCCCACCTTGGCCTCCCAAAGTGTTAGGATTACAGGCATGAGCCACCATGCCCAGCCTGTATTCAAACTTTTTACACAAACTTTCTTTGTTTAAATCACTGTGTGGTTTGTTTCCTGACTG